GCTCACAGGCTTTTAAGACCCCAGACACTATTCACCAAGGTAGAATGTAGAACATTGTCTTTATAAACTGTGTTATGCCAATTGAGCTAGATGTTCCCCGTAATCATTTTTTTTTTTTTAAATGTCAACTAACCAAATAATACTAGTAATATACACCAGGGGTCAGAAAACTTTTCTATAAAGGGCCAGATAGTAAATATTTAAGGTCTGGGTATCAGGGTAGGCTATTCAGTCTCTGTTGCAAATAGTCAACTCTGCCATTGTAGCACAAAAATGGCCACAAAACACATGAGCTTTACTGTGTTCTATTAAAACTTTATTTATAAAAACAGGTGACAGGTCATATTTGGCCCGTGGGCTGTACCTGGCCAACCTCTGATATAGACTATCGAAGGGTAGGGAGGTACCACTTCCTCCTCACTCCAGTTTACTCTTTCTCTGCGGAAAAAGCCCTTTTAGCTTTATATTTGTGGTCTCTCTCTACCTGGGGTGAATTCAGAAGGAAAAACTGGGCAAGCATGGCAGGGCAGCCCCTTCTTCTTCCCTATCTCTTGGTTATGACTGACCCACAGGAAACGCACATTCTTTTCTGCTTCTCCAGGGGCCCAGCCTGCCCTGCAGTGTGGAAAAGCCGGCCTGGCCAAGGCTCTGGGTGGGTAAGCCTGTCTAATAATAGGCTTCAGTATTAGAAACCCTCTTACCCCAGGTATGAACCACATTCTCTAATATCAGAGTATTATTTTAGCCTCCATATACTTGACTCTTGTTTTCTTTCTTAGTTGGTTCAGAACTTGGACAAGGAAGTAGCATGCTATTTATTGGGCCCCTCAGAGATCCCTACCTAGACATCAACTCACAGCAGTTGGACTAAGAGGGGATTAAAAGTGGAGAGGCAGGGCTCCGACTTACCTCTGCGGCTCAGAACAATGCATGTACCATGAGGTCTCCCCTTGTCCCAGGGTACCAGCCTGCACAGCCGAGCTGGAGCAGATGCCAAGTCGATAAGCTGGGCAGTCTGTGACCGTGGTTTCCCAGTAATGCTGGCCACAGGCAGGCAGCTCCTCGCCCAGCACTGATGGGATTCTGCAGGCAAAGTTAATCAGATTAAGTTTAGAACAGAAATCACCAGCACTTATCTCATGAGGGTCAACATTCCCAAACTTACATAGTTTAGGCAGGGTTCTATCCTTAGAAACTGCTGGAATTTGACTAAAGACCTTTTTGTTCACTGTGTCCCCAACTTTTCTGACCTGATCACCACAGAATTCCCCAAACCCTCTACATGCATTTGACATATTTTCCACTGCCAGTTATAATTAATCTGCTTTGTAGAGGCTTGTGGTCAACAGTCTTCTGGACTCTGGCCTTTTTGGATTATAGTAGGTGCACCTGAGAGGTTGTTTAAAGGTCTTTCTGTCTCACCTTAGCTATTTTTTGTAACAGTCACAGTGAAATGAACTGAAGAACTTTTACCTGCTGATGGGTGACCTTGTTTTCATGAGTTGCTCAATTTTGCTTTGAAATGACTGAGACAGCAAGGAAGCATTTTTAATTTAAGCAGCATTAATATTCAGTCAGAACCTCTCCCTGTTCCCTTTAATGGATGAGAAAACGATTAATGCAAGGGACTGTTTTCCACTTTCTCATTTCAGAGAGGTGGCTACTGACAAGCCCTCACTCTGGAGGAAAGCCCTGATATTTATGAACTAATTTTCAGGTTAATAATCAATAATATTCTATAAAATATAATTACCATCAGTTATTATTATGAACTGTTATCAACCTTCAGTCTATTTCTTTTCTTTTTGTTTTTTTAAAAAAACCAAAAAGACAGAAAAGCCCAGTCCATTTCTTAAATTTTTTCCTGAATTCACTCATTTGTGTATTTTTCAGCAAGTACAATGTGCCAGGCCCCATGCTAGATTCTGGGTATTCAAAGATGCAGGAGACAGGTCTGCTGCTTGAGGATTACTCAGGATCTAAAACAAAACCCATTGCCATTGAGAAGATTTTGACTCATAGCGACCCTGTAGGACAGAGTAGAATTGCCCCATAGGCTTTGCAACGAGCAGCTGGTGGATTTGAACTGCCGGCCTTTTGGTTAGTGGTCGACCTCTTAACCACTGTGCCACCAGGGCTCCATTCAGGATCTAGTGACTGACAAATGATCCCACCAAGTAGTCAGTCCTTTTAGACAGTAAAATTAAAGAGCGCCTGGAGTGCCAGAGAAGGGTTGGCCATCTTCCAGGGCAGGTAACACCTGAGCTCGGCCTTCGCCAGACCAGCAATCTGATAGGAAAACAGTGCATGTCACTGTTGATAGGCTCCGTGTTTTACTGTGAGAACTTGCAGCCCACCAATCCTTGAGCATATCAGCACCATCAGCAGCACGTGTTTCACAAGGTGTTACAGTTTTCAAAAGACTTTCATATATTTTCTCCCATTTGACCATTTTGACCCTCAAAATAATCATGAGAGGTTACATGCAAACTGCAGGACAGTCTCCCCACCTTGTCCTCAGCTTTTGGCTCTTCTTTACTTCAGTGCTTCCCTTTGTTGTGGGTACTGTGGGGGCAGGATTCTGAAAGCCCTGCATGTGGCCAGAACTAAGTACTCAACAAAATGTCATCCTCCTCTGTTCATTTTCAAGTAGGTTGATACAAAATCCAATTTGCTATGGAAAATTATAGGAGAATTAACCTGGACTATTTTTCATTGAACCAGCGATAATACCTTGAAACAGACTATGTTTTAAACAAAACCATCTGTGCTTATATTTCCAATAAACATGTTGACACTTTCTCCAAGTTCTGAACTGTAGCTGCCACTTTCTGCCTAGTAACGAACTGTAACTGAACTAAATGGTGTGCACACATTTATATTCAACACAATACCTGGGCATGGTCATTAGGCCAGGAATATGCTCAGGTGAGGCCACACTGAGGTGACACACTCTAAGAAGATTCTACTGCTGAGGCATCAGCACACTTGTGCTTTCTTCTTCTACTTACTCTGTCAGCCGTCTTCTCTCAGCAAAGCTGATCACTGTCCCATTGGAGGAAATTTGCAGTGCAGGGTGAGCTGTTTCTCTCAGCAGTAGAAACCTAGTTCCTGTTGCAGTTAAGAAAATAGGATTAAAACATTGCCACAATGTCAAGAGCTGTCCCTAGGCTAAGCTTCACGGTTCAGATGTTGTCTCCCTTTTCCCTGACATCAAAATTCCCTGCTCAGAGTTTGCAGATCCACAGCCAAAAACTGCATCCAAGATAAGGCATCCGTGAATGCCAGTGGCTGGTTTCCACCACCTGGTGCCACTTAGTTACACCGTCACAAGTGTCTCTCATAAAAGAGCTTCCGCCTGCTACACAAAGTGTGGTCTTTCCATCAGCAGCATCTACATCACCTGGAAACTACATAGAATGGTCGACTCTCGGGCCCCACCCCAGAACTATGGAATCACAATCCATATTTTAACAAGATCCTCAGGAGATTCATGTGACATTAAGATTTGGAGAAGCAGTGGTGTAACCCAAAGGAATGATTCTAATAGTAGAAGTTACAAGCACCATACTGGGCCTGAGAGGAAAACATTTCTGGGGAGGCAGCCGTTATGTCCTCCCTTTACAGACATCAGGCTGTAACTACATTACAAACAAGGCACGTGTACAAGTTTCTACTTGTTGGCAGGTCACTAAATGTGCTACCCTCAATCTTGTGCCATCTGAGTCTAGGATAAGATAATAAAAGATCCCCTTTCCATTCCTCACTTCCCTTCATAATAATTGAGACTAGCCAATTATTGTTGGCAACATCTGGGTATTATCCCCAAAATGTCATTGAACGGTTTTATCAGTTCCTTGAGTCATTGATTCACTCATTCAGTGAGTCAACAAACATTAATTGGCACATACTACGTGCCAGGTGCCAACAATAAACAGAGGACTAAGACTAGAAACTTGGTCATAGAATTCACAGTGTAATAGAAAAGGAATCTCCCTACTCACCCTAAACACACAGATACACACATCCCCTAACTCCAAAACGTATCGACACATTATTGCACATTATAAACCAAACAAAAATTGTCGGGAGAGATTTTTTTAAAAATACTAACGTCTGGCCCACCTCCAGATCAATTAAGTCAGAGTATCTAGGCATGGGGTCCGTGCATCAGTATTTTTAATCGGGCTGAGTCATTGCTAATGGACAGCAAAGGCTGAGAACCTCTAAACCAGAAGAAAATAAACATTTTGATGTTTGACCAATCTCGGGTCTTCATACCAAAAACCTAGCATCAGCAGCAGGTTCGGGGCTTTATGAAGTTGTCCTCTAGGATGACTTCTCTGGGTGGTAGAAGGGAAGAAAAGATAATAGCTCTTCGTGTATGAAGGAGAAAGTACCTCTCGTGGAAATGAGGGCAGCTTCACTCTGCTCACTTGTCCCAAATGCGTTGATGGCTCTCACATAGAAAAAATAATTATCATTGGGTTGAAGGTTAACTTTCAGCTGGAGTCCTTTAATTCCAGAGAAAGATCTAAACATAAAGGAAAAATAATGGTTTTAAATATAATACCACATGCTAGGTGACTTGTCATATTTCAGTTTTGTAGTGAACGAACATCTTTTATGAACTACGAACAATTGTTTTCTTCTCTATGACCACCAGAGTTAGCAAGCCAAATTGTGCAAAATGGTCATTGTCCGTTAAGATTACTTTGTCAAATCATTCCTATTTTTGTCAACTTTTGTTCAATACATGCCTTCCACAACGCTCTTTAGAAGGAAACTGGACAAACTTACTTATTTATTTTTATTTACTTTAGATAAAGGTTTACAGAACAAGCTAGCTTCTCATTAAACATTTAGTACACATATTGTTTTATAACATTAGGTAACAACGCCACCATATGTAACACTCTCCCTTCTTGACCTTGGGTTCCCTATTACCTGATGCGCTTCTTTAGTCTCGTTTTGTTTTATGGGCGTGTCTAATCTTTGGATAAAGGGTGAACCTCGAGACTGACTTCATTACTGAGCTAAAAGGGTGACCAGGGGCCATACTCTCAGGGATTCTCCACTCACTGTCAGGCCAGTAAGTCTGGTCTTTTTTTGTGAGTTAGAGTTTTGTTCTACATTTTTCTCCAGCTCTGTCTGGGACCCTCTGTTGTGATCTCTGTCAGAGCAGTCAGTGGTGGTAGCCGGGCACCATCTAGCTGTACTGGACTCAGTCTGGTGGAGGCTGTGGTAGTTGTGGTCCATTAGTCCATTGGATTAATCTTTCCCTTGTATCTTTAGTTTTCTTCATTCTCCCTTGCTCCTGAAGGGGTGAGACCAGTGGCATATATTAGATGGCCGCTCACAGGCTTTTAAGACCCCAGACACTACTCACCAAAGTGGAATGTAGAACATTTTCTTTATAGACTAGGTTATGCCAATTGAGCTAGATGTCCCCCTAGACCATGGTTCCCACAACACTCAGCCCAACAAATCGGTATCTCAGGGAGTTTGGATGTCTCTATGGACCTTCCACGACCTTGCCTTGTACAAGTTGTGCTGGCTTCCCCAGAATTGTGTACTATCTTATCCTTCACCAAAGTTACCACTTATCTACTGTCTTATTTAGTGTTTTTCCATCACCACCTCTCCCCTTCCTCATAACCGTCAAAGATGATTTCTTTTTGTGTGTAAAACTTTCCATGAGTTTTTACAGTAATCGTCCCATACAATATTTGTCCTTATGTGCTTGACTTATTCCACTGGTATAATGCCCTTCAGATTCATCCATGTTATGAGATGCTTCACAGATTCATCATTGTTCTTTATCGTTGCATAATACTCCATTGTGTGTATGTACCACAGTTCGTTTATCCATTCATCTGTTGATAGGTACCTAGTTGTTTCCATCTTTTTGCTGTTATAAACAATGCGGCAATGAACATGGGTGTGCATATGTCTATTTGTGTGACGACTCTTAGTCCTGTAGGATTTATTCCTAGGAGTGGGATTGCTGGATCATATGGTATTTCTATTTCTAGCTTTCTAAGGAAGCGCCATATTATTTTCCACAATGTTGTATCATTTTGCATTCCCACCAGCTGTGCAGCAGTGCATAAAGTTCTGATTTCCCCACGGCCTCTCCAACATTTGTTATTTCCAATTGTTTTTGATTCGTGCCAGTAATGACCAGGTGAGATGGTATCTCACTCTGGTTTTTATTTGCATTTCTCTAATGGCTAGTGGTCACGAGCATTTCCTCATGTGTCTGTTCACCGCTTGAATGTCTTCTTGGGTGAAGTGTCTGTTCATTTCCTTTGCCCATTTTTTAATTGGATGATTTATCTTTTTGTTGTAGATGTGCTGGATTTTCCTGCAGATTTTAGAGATTAGACCTTCATCTGATTTATAATAGCCAACATTTTTTCCCCAGTCCATAGGTTGTCTTTTTACTCTTTTGGTGAAGTCTTCTGATGAGCATAAGTGTTTAATTTTTAGAAGATCCCAGTTATCTAGCTTATCTTCCAGAGTTTGTGTGTTGTTGGTTATGGTTTGTATCCTGTTATTAGGGCCTCTAACATTGATCCTATTTTTTCTTCTATGAACTTTATAGTTTTGGGTTTTAGATTTATGTCTTTGATTCATTTTGAATTAGTTTTTGTGTATGATGTTAGGTGAGTACTGTTTCATTTTTTTGCAGATGGACATCCAGTTTTTCCAGCACCATTTGCTAAAAAGACTGTCTTTTCCCCATTTGATGGACTTTGGGCCCTTGTCAAAGATCAGGTGACCATAGATGGGTGGGATTTACATCTCAGTTCTCAGTTCAGTTCCATTGGTCAATGTATCTGTTGTGTACCAGTACCAGGCTGTTTTGACTACCGTAGCTGTATAGTAGGTTCTGAGGTCAGGTAGTGCGAGTCCTCCTACTGTATTCTTCTTCTTCAATAGTGCTTTACTTATTTGGGGCCTCTTCCCTTTCCATATAAAGTTAATGATTAGTTTTTCCATCTCTTTAAAGAATGTTGTTGGTATTTGGATCAGGAATGCATTGTATTTGTAAATCGCTTTGGGTAGAATTGTCATTTTCACTATGTTGAGTCTACCTCTCCACGAGCATGGTATGTTTTTCCATTTATGTAGATCTCTTTTGGTTTCTTGCAGTAATGTTTTGTAGTTTTCTTTGTATAGGTCTTTTACATCCCTGGTGTGATAGTTAAGATTGTATGTCAACTCCGCTAGACCATTATTCTCAGTGTTTTAGTAGTTGTATAATGTTGTGATCACCCCCATGATGGAATCTGCTGAGTGGTACTGGCGGAGGCGGTGCCTGTGGCAATTCACCACCCTCTCAGTTACCTTCTGCTTGCTCGCCTTGCCAAGGTTTTTGGCTTGTTCAAGACTCAGCTGCTGCCTCTTGTTGTCTCACCTCCGGTTCATGGGACTTGAGCTAGCAGCTTACCTGTTGATCTTGGAATTCATCGAACTTGTCAGCCTGCAAGCAAGAGTCCGGTTCCCCGACCTGCCGACCTTGGGTTTACCAGCCCCTGCAGCTACATGAATCAGGAGAAACCTGATTGTCTTGTCTGCTGATCTTGGAATTCACTGACCTTCACAGCCTGTGAGCGGGAGCCCCTCTCTGACCTGCTGACCTTGGATTCACCAGCTTCTGCAGCTACTTGAACTGGGATAGGCCTCTACCCTGATCTGTGGACTTGGGACGTTTTAGCCTCTACAATTGTGTGAGCTATTTCCTTGATATAAATCTCTCTATATATTTATATGCTTTACTGGTTTTTCTTCTCTAGAGAACCCAGCCTAAGACAGCTAGTTAGATTTATTCCTAAGTATTTTATTTTTTTAGGGACTATTATAAATGGTACTGTTTTCCTGATTTCCTTTTCATGGTTCTATTTATTGGTGTATAGGAATCCATCTGATTTTTGTATGTTTATCTTGTATCCTGCTACTCTGCTGAATCTTCCTATTAGTTCCAGTAGTTTTCTCATGGAGTCTTTTGGGTTTTCTATGTCTAGTATCATATCATCCACAAATAGGGACAGTTTAACTTCTTCATTACCAATTTGGATGCCATTTATTTCTTTTTCTTGCTTTATTGCTCTAGCTAGGACTTCCAGCACAATGTTAAATAGGAGTGGTGATAAAGGGCACCCTTGTCTTGTTCCTGTTTTCAAGCGGAATGTTTTCAGCCTCTCTCCATTAAGAATGATGTTGGATGTTGATTTTGCATAGATGCCCTTTATTATGTTGAGAAATTTCCCTTCTATCTCTATTTTATTAAGAGTTTTTATCAGGAATGGGTGTTGGACTTTGTCCGATGCCTTTACTGCATCAGTTGAGATGATTATGTGATTCTTTTCTTTCCTTTTATTTACGTTGTTTATTACATTGATTAATTTTCTCATGTTGAACCATCCTTGCATACCTGGTATGAATCCTACTTGTCTGTGGTATATTACTTTTTGATATGATGCTGAATTCTATTGGCTAAAATTTTGTTGAGAATTTGTGCATCTATATTCACAAGAGATATTGATCTATGATTTTCTTTTTTAGTGGCATCTTTGCCTGGTTTTGGTATCAGGGTTATGCTGGCTTCATAAAATGAATTCGGAAGTATCACTTCCTTTTCTATGTTCTGAAATAGTTTGAGTAGTACTGGTATAAGCTCTTCTCTGAATGTTTGGTATAATTCTCTAGTGAAGCCATCTGGGCTAGGACTTTTTTTTGTTGGGAGTTTTCTTATTACCTTTTCAATCTCTTCTCTTGTTATGGGTCTGTTACGATTTTCAACATCATTTTATGTTAATTTGGGTAGGTAGTGTGTTTCTAGAAATTTGTCTATTTCCTCTAGGTTTCCAAATTTGTTGGAGCATAGTTTTTCATAATACTCTGTCATGATCCTTTTTATTTCAGTTGGGTCGGTTGTAATGTCCCCCATTTCATTTCTTATTTGAGTTATTTGCGTTCTCTCCTGTTTTTCTTTTGTCAGTCTGGCCAGTGGTTTGTAGATTTTGCTGATCCTTTCAAAGAACCAACTTTTGGTTTTGTTGATTCTATTGTTTTTCTATTCTCTATTTCATTCATTTCTTTATTAATTATTTATAAAGAATAATTATATAATTATAATCTTTATTATTTCCTTTCTTCTGGTGGCTGTGGGCTTTTTTTGCTCTTCTCTATTTGTTCGAGTTGTGTAGCTAATGTTTTGATTTTGTCCCTTTCTTCTTTTTTGATGTGTGCGTCTACTGCTATAAATTGACCTCTGAGGGCTGTCTTTGCTGCATCCCAAAGGTTTTGGTATGATGTGTTTTCATTCTCGTTTGATTCTAGGAATTTCTTTATTCTATCTCTGATTTCTTCTATTACTTGGTAGTTTTTAAGTTATTCAGTTTCCATGTAATTGATTTTTTTTTCCTTGCTCTTCCTGTTGTTAATTTCTACCTTGATGTCATTGTGATCAGAGAAGATACTTTGTATTATTTCAGTGTTTTAGATTTTGTTGAGGGTTGCTCTGTG